TGATAGAATATCTTGAACTTTTTGATCAAGTGAAAAGTATCAAAAAGCAAATATATTATGAGCTTTGGCTTAATGAATTTAACAAGATGATAAGAAAGTGTTGTTTTGAGAAATTATTGAATTAGTGTTTGAAGGAAGATTTATATTGGAAGTGTATATTGAATAAAATAGTAAGGTATATTTCAGATTGATGCACAAAAGTAAAGTGGAGTTAGCTTTTAAAGAAGATGCATATTGTTAAAATTTTAGATCTAGATGGGATACTTGAGATTTGGAGTGTTATCATGAATGCTATAATGGTTTGTGTAATAATTTTTTTTAAATTGAATTTTGAAGGCCATAAAGATACAAAATGATTGGATAAGCATCATTTTTATTTCTATATTTAAATTTAAAGGAGCTTGAGTTTATGATATTTATAAAGAAATGAAATTGTGGTTGGCATAATTATCATTTGGGTTATATTTAAGTTGTTGGCCAACCTGAACCTAAACCAAAATATTAAATATGTTAGGATTCTAGATTCGAACCTGACCCAAAATTTAATTGGGTCAACCCAAACCTAGGTTTTTTTGAGTTGGGTTGACATGCTGGGCAAGTTTTGGCACTTCTTTTAGGAAGTAATGGAATAAGGTAGAAAAAATACATTAGTTTCAGAATCAATTGTTTTATGACAGCATGGATTACCATTGATTTTTTCCTTTTTTTGTTATGATAAGTGATCTTAATATATTTTTGTTAATTTTAAGAGTGCATATGATCGGGTGTGATGAGAATTGATTTTGTATACTTCAGGGAAGATGCATGCTAAAGATATGTATTGATACAAAAGTTTCAATTACTCCAATTTGCTTAGCTATGGCATCATTATTTATGCTTTTACAAGTATTTCTAGATGTCGGTCTCAAATTGTGCTAAGATGTGCCAAGGCTCTTCCAAAAGATCCATAAAATTCAGCACAAATAGATGCCAACTAAGATATAATATTTTGTTCATGTTGTCATAGCAGCTCAACCCATAGATCTCGGTCTCATATTGCTTGTTGAATTAGCCAAGGGATGGATTGGTTCTTGAACTTGCTGAATCATCAAATATGTATGCCAACTCAGTAACTAGAGTTTATCCAATTGACGTGGTTGCATAGCACTCTAGCTTGTGTGTTTAGAGGTTTCAATTGTATGACTCTTGTGCTTGCTAAATTGAGACTTAATATTCAAGTAATGTCTTTTGGTTCACTGAGTTCATGATTTATTTGTTGACTTGGTTAGTAGAGCTTATTAAATCAATGAAACAGCTCGGCCCTTAGGTTTGTTTGTTGAGAATTGTGGTTGACCCTTGAACTTATTTTACAGGAGATTAACTCAAACTACGAAAGTGAAGTTGGACAATAAAACGGCCAACATAAATGCGCAATTCAACTTTGCTATTGGAGCTTTTTGAATTGATATGCAGCTCAGCCTTTATATCTTATGAGCTGAGAGGTTTTGCCACTTTGAGCTTTGTCTTGTTAAAGTGGAACTTGATATGCTTGCTTGGTCCATCAACTCACATTAAAGGTGGGTTCTTAGACTTGTTGAGTTTGGAACTTTCCTCCAGACCCAGCATTTGTATCTAGTTGAATTATCTAGATATCTCAACCCTTCAGATTTCTGAACTGAAAGATGTCACCAATTAAGCTTATTAGACTCGTTGAACTGGAATTTAATATTCAAGCTTTATTTTATAGACCTTTTGGGCTTGAGATTTGTTTATTAACTTGACTTTTGAAGCTTGTTGAATTAGTAAGGCAGCTTGACCTTTAGGATTATGAGTTAAGCATATATATTTTGTTGTAAATATGAGTTACTAGTATGCTTTTAGTATTCTGACTTTTAGTATTCTGACCATGAAACTCGGCTAAGTTGTCTTGTTTATATAAAACTGCTTGAAAACCTAATTTTTCTTTTAAATTCATTAACTATGATGTCTTAAACATCCATTTTCCTTTAGCTTGCTAAGCTTTGTTGTAGCCTAGCTCTGGATTTATTATGTTAGCAAATTTTTGTAAATGGCCTCGAGTATAAGAACATGCTGCGTTGATGAGGATATTTTGTCCCTTGGGTTTGATAATTCAAAAAGAAAAATGAAAAAAAAAAAAGAAGAAGAAGAAAAGCAAGGGGAAAAAATGCAGGTTAAGTTGTATTTATTTAATATTTAAATCTTGTTATGCTCTTGAAAATTAAATTCTCGAAGTTGTATTATTTTTTAGTTATTTATTTATATTTAGGAAAGAAAATCTATGCTATTCTTATTTGAAAAGATTAAGTTTTAGAATTTTATTTTTTAATTAATTAAGATCATTTGAAGTCAATTTTTTATATATCAGAGCACTAAAGATTCATGATTCTCAGGATTATTAATGAATATAAAAATTTAGGCAATATGGAGTTTTCTATTATTAATTATTAATGATTTTGTATGAAGATTTAAAAATTTTCTGTAAATTATTCTTCAATAAAGTTAAATTTTGTGAAAATTTTGCTATCAAAGGTATTAAGGACATAAATTTTCAGTTACGATTACTTCAGGACAAGAAATGGGTAAAATTTGGGGAAATTTATTGAGTAGCTCAAGTGCATAGAAATCAGGTGTGATTTTATGTATTTTTATTGCATTAAGGGATATGAAATGGACCAAATAATAATTTGGAGAATACTGAGGAGAAGCAAATGCAGCTAGAGCTCATGAGGCGCCAAATTTGAGGTAGATTTTTGAGAGCTTATCACCGCAAACTCAAGTTTTGAGCTCCACGACATCAGAGATTTCATGTCGTAGAGTAGGTTTCGCTCAAGTTTTGAGCTCCACGACATCAGAGATTTCATGTCATTTCATGTCGTAGAGTAGGTTTCGCAGAGTAGGTTTCGCAGCCACAACGTTGAAGAACATAAACGTTGTAGGAAAATGCACGACGCCATGCACGAGCATGGCGTCGTGCTACTTTCCAGTGCGGGAACACTATCATTCTAGTGCCACAATGCCGGCCAAGCAATGTTGTAACATGAAAAAAAAAGGCTAAAAATCCGATAGCCCGGATCACAACACCACTTTTGCATGCCACAATGCTGTGCAAAGGAATTTTAGACACACTATCATTCTAGTGCCACAATGCCGGCCAAGCAACGTTGTAACATGAAAAAAAAAAAAGGTTAAAAATCCGATAGCCTGGATCACAACACCACTTTTGCGTGCCACAATGCTGTGCAAAGGAATTTTAGACACGGGGAGATGGCTTGAAGGCGTGGCATAGCGGCACGATGTCTTGACAGAGCAATTTTGTTATGGAGCGTTCTAGAGCAGTTTGAGTAATTTTTGACACGGGGAGAGTTTATCATAGCGTTTGTAGTCTGTTAGGGGGCTTGAAGCCATTTTGGTGTTTGTGTAGTGAGTGTGAGATTGAGAGCAATAGTACAAAGCTGTGCAAAGGAAGGAAAGCCAGAACTGCTTCACTTTAATCAAATTTAATGAGGTTGTACCTTTCTTACTCTATCATAGATTTTGTGGTTGTATTCTTATTTTTGTGTTGTTTTGAATAACAATGTTTAGGAAATATGCCAAATTTTCTCTGGATTGGTGTTTATCTTTAAAGCTTTGTTTACTTTATGTGTTTTGTTTGAATGGAAATTAAATATGTTGTTTTTTTTTCCAATCCTAAACTTTATTCAAGTATGTTTTGACCTAATATGCTTTGAAATCAACCGTGATCTGATGATTCCGAAAAAAACCTTGTTGAAAAATAGGATTGGCAATCAAGTTTTTGGAAACATAGGCTTATAAATTTTTTTTTTCTTAAAATTCTAATATTTAGAGGAATAGAATTCACAAAAATCTTTTGCATTTATTAGGATATGAATATCACTAATCAATAATGTGAAGATTCGATGTCTTTTAACTTTTAAAGGGAGATTAGAACATGGACTTGTCCTTGATTGACAACTACTCTTAAGAAAACATCACACATAGTTGCGTATAGCTTTTTTAGGTATTCATAAATTCAGGAGCTTTTATCATTTTGAAAATTTACATTTATTCATTTCAAACATTCACCTTTAAATAGATTATTTGCTGGATCAAACTTTGGTTTACAAAAGTTGGTAATTAATTTAATTGAATTTAGTACTTGATCATCTTGGGAATGATATCCCATTCACTATTTTTTTATTTGAAACGAAATGTGTACTCGCCTACAAGTTGATTGGTGGTTCTGACAACCTAACCATGTACGCAAGATTATCACATTAATAAATTTGTGAGATTGATTACAATGGACTTGGATGAAATAATATTTTGTTATCTAAACAGCGGGGCTTTCTCAATTTTGAATGGCTTATTTTTTTAACTTAATTAGAATGTTGAATAGGCTGTTGTCTTGATATGATATTGACTTCCGTGGTCCAATCAAGCTTTTAATAAGAAAATTATGGAATGCTTTTGCAAATGGATTATAGTTTTTGCAAACATTTTTATAAAGAGGCTTACGAATAACTTTTATAGGAAGTGTTAGAAGACAAACAAGAAATGTTAGAGCTAAATACCATGTTTTTTATTTGTTTGGTATATCAAGTCTTCTACAGTTCACCTTAAATACAAAACTTACTAGGAGAGAATAGCGAATGATGATTTACTACTGGTATGTAAACTTTTCAAATTAGTTTTTTATTTCATTTAAAAACTGCTTGAATACATAATAGAACATTCAAATCCAAAATTGATGTCACTCGTTTTTGTGCACACGTACGAATACTTACCTTTTATTGTTATGTTCAAGGCCTCAGGTTAATGAATTTCTTATACATGGTAGTTAGCTCCGCATTTAATGTTCTTTTGAGTTTGTGAAGTTCATTTAAATTTCATTATTTTTATATTTACCTTTTGGCATGCGTTGCAGTTTTGGATACTTGCTTGGATTAAATTTTTTTGTGATAGTTAAGGGATTAACTTTTAATAAATTGCTATTTTTGCAGATATTTGACCTCTTTGATGTGAAGCAAAAGGGTGTCATTGATTTTGGTGACTTTGTTCGATCACTCAATGTATTTCACCCAAATGCCCCACTTGAGGACAAAATTAACTGTAAGTTAGTATCATTTTCTTTCCTTGCATACATCATTGTATAATGGTTCTTGCATGTTTCAAGTCTACTATTTCATTTTGCAGTTTCATTCAAGCTCTATGATTTGGATGGTAATGGCTTTATTGAGAGAAAAGAGGTGAGTTGGAAATACTTTTTCTTGAATAGATAGATCATTCTTCTTGTATGAATAAAAATACAAGTACATATACATTTTATGTAACTATATTCTCACTAGGACTCGATGGAACTTAATGTTGGGCGATAAAATGGTCATTCATAGCCAATTTTAATCTGAATAAAATGACAATGCTAAGATGAATGTGTGATAAAATTAGGAAATGAAAAATTATTATATTTGAGAATTAGAAGGGTTACCTACCATATATAAGTTCGATGAAAGTAACTTGAGTGGTTTAGACATCAACAAAGATGTTTTGACAATACATGCGGACGGGAAGATGGAAGTAAAGTTGAAGGATTAGAACGGAACTTTATAGACCGAAGTTAAAATTGCTACAATTTTGCATTGAGATTTGCACAAAATAGCTATTAACACCTCACCTATGGTAACAAATGGAGGATTAAGATGCAACATGGTGTTGGATGAACAGTATGATGGTCTAAGTTTTAGCACGGCTGATTTAGCTGAATCAAGATGCAATTTTAGTAGTTTTCTAATATCTTGCATAATCTTTACTTGTTCCTTGATCTATGCTTCAATGGCTTTTAAAAAAAATGTCTTCAGTGGAGAAAGAATGCAGCGAAATTCGAATTTCAACCAATTGATACTGAATTAGAGGTTGATCACGGACTCAGAGGGGCATAAGTTGTTTCAAAGATGAATTAAATTTAGAGAAGAGTGTTCAGAATTTAACAGATTAAATTTGAATACGCAACAAATGTAGTATTACGTTGCTTCATTGTATACCTTCTTATTATTGTAGATTCCTTCTCAACTTATTTATTCAAGTTTGTTTTTATTTGATTTTGATTGCATGCTGTATGAAATAGTTTGATTTAATTTTGCAGGTGAAACAGATGTTAATTGCACTTCTTTCTGAGTCTGACATGAAATTGTCGGATGAAACTGTTGAGCTCATAGTAGACAAGGTCTGTTTTTTGGGGACTAATGCTCTTATATTCGCTTTATGGTTTTGCTATTTACTTTCTTTTTAAAACTCATCTCCTCATTCATAAATGCTTCTGCATTTTAAACAGACATTTGTTGATTCGGATGTGAATCACGATGGAAGAATAGATAAATCAGATTGGCAAAATTTTGTTTCTCGCAACCCATCATTGATGAAGATTATGACGCTTCAATATCTCAAGTAAGTTGTATTTCAATTAGTAACGGTGGGAAGTGGGTGTCAATTTCATTTAGATTTTAGACATGTCTAACTTATTTAGATTCTTGGAGATAATGCATGTTATGATGTGGCTTTTTGCGTAAGGTAAAACTGTGACAATAACTCTTAAGCCGTCAGAGTCTTTGGTAAGTAAGGGCTAATGAAAGTTTTTCCCTAGCTGAATGCTGATGGAAATAACAGCTATATATTATATGTAATCTGGAAAATTGATTGAAATATTCATATGAGATAGATTGTGTTATGAAAAATATAAAAATCTAATTGGTGTATATTAGGAAGCATATATATTAGGAAGATTGATGTTAGATAAACTAATTAGAGGAGATCTAATTACAAGATTTTTCCTATTTATAGAAATATTTTTCAACTTATAAAGATACGACTGTATATAAATATGTACCATATTCTTTGAATTGAGTAATAAGAAGTTTTCCTGTCACATGGTATTAGAGCTTCAAATTACAAGATTTTTCCTATTTATAGAAATATTTTTTAATTTATAAAGATACGACTGTATATAAATATGTACCGTATTCTTTGAATTGAATAATAAGAAGTTTTTCTGTCACATGGTATTAGAGCTTCGAGCTTCATCTCCCTAAGTGGAATTGTTCATTGGTGTCTTCTGTCATTGGAATCGCCCATTGGTGTCTGCGTTGTTTGAATCACACATATGCTTCTCTCGTGTGCGTTTGTTGTATCGTTCATGGTCAACATACAGGCGAATGATTTGAACGAGTCGTGGGTGTTTTGTCGTCTCTACATCATCCTACAGTCAAGTGTGATCGTGCATTGCGAGTTCTTTGTCTCTTGCGATGTCTTTACTCTGGCATCGACAACAGGGTTCTTTTCTGGCGTCGTTCTTATATGACATTGTCTTCCTCTTTGTGATTGGTGTTATTCTCTTCGTCACCGCCTTCGTCCTTTAGTTAGGA